TCCCACACTGGTGGGACGGGGCATAATAAGAATGAACAAGAGGAGGTGCAAAGCCCAAATAAACTGCGCACTGGCGCGGGGGGGCAACAAAGAGAGAGACCTAAGGGATGATCTGGAAGGTAAGAGGGAGAGAGATTTGCGCAATGAGCTTCACCAGAAAGTGAGGGAGGGAGTCATATCCCCTAGGAAGCAGCATGGCTATGTGGGAAAGCAACGAGATCATGGTGAGGTGTCACATGGGGGTCAGTACAGGAAGCCGGGACACTTTGTTCGCCGGCCAAGGTACGATGGGGGTGTACCGACAGCGGGAAACCCACCATATGTATGTGCCACGTGAGAAGAAACGCTCATCCAGGCAAGTTTGGGTTGTGAAAGGTGAAGGGACGAGAAGGGATGGTGCGGATGGTTATGATGGAGATAAAAGGCAGAAGGTTTCGTCAGTTTTTGAAAGAATATGTGAGTTTGGAACTTCATCGGCGGACCCCGGAAGCCGGGGCCGCCGAGAACAATGATTCTCTTGGCCTGGAACTATCGGGGACTGGGGTTGGACCCGACGGTTGGCGAACTTCGAGACCTGGTACGGTCATACAACCCAACGGTGGTGTTTCTGAGCGAAACAACGAAGAGGGCAAAGGCGATGGAGAAGGTTCAATAGAGTTTGGGTTTTCGGAATGGTGTGGCAGTTGATTGTGTAGGGAGAAGTGGGGGCCTTGCGCTGTGGTGGAGAGATGATGTGCAAGTAACCTTGAGGCCGTGGTGCCAGTACTACATTGATGCGGAGATACGATGCGAGGGGAAAACTTTTAGGTTGACTGGAATCTATGGGGAACCCCGAACGGAGCACCGGAATAAAACGTGGGATGCATTACGTTATCTGAGAAGGCAGGATAATCTCCCATGGCTTTGTGCGGGCGATTTTAATGAAATCCTCTTCCAAACCGAGCAGCCGGGAGGAAACTTGAGGAATTTTAACCAAATGGAAGGTTTCAGATAGTGCCTAGCTGACTGCGGCTTGGCTGATTTGGGATTCACTGGATATCCGTTTACATGGAATAATAAACAAGATGCCGAAGGAAATATTCAGGTGAGGTTGGATCGAGCTACATGTACTGATGAGTTCCTACAAGTTTTTCCGGAGACGGCTGTTGAACATCTGGTGACAGAGGAGTCGGACCATGTGGCATTGGTAATTAGGGTGGCTGTGTCACTGGACATGGGTGCCAAAAACAAGCCGATGACCTTCCGTTTTGAGGAAGCATGGACGCGCCACGAGGGATACGAGAAGATGGTATTGCATGCTTGGGAAGAGATCAACGGGGAGCTCGGTATAGCGACTGATATGAGCAAAAAATTGGGTGCGATGTCCAGGATCATACAGAGATGGAGTAGAGAGGTTTTCGGCTCGCTTCACTGGCAGATTGCAAAGCTCAAAGTCCAGTTGACGGATGCTAAGAACAGATCGCTGCACACGGGTTATTTCGGAGAAGTGCAGGACATAGAGGGCCAGCTTCACGACTTGTATGAGAAGGAGGAGATTTACTACAAACAACGGTCAAGGATTGATTGGCTTCAGTGGGGGGATCAAAACACTAAGTACTTCCAAAACCGTGCATCACATAGGAAGCGCAAAAATACTGTCAAGTCTCTTCTCAGGGAGGACGGGACGAGGTGCTCAGCGGACAAGGAGATGCGAGCGGAGGCAGCCAGATTCTATGCTGAACTGTTTACCTCCGAGGGATCGGTTGACGCTGATGTTATTTTGCAGCATATTGATCAGGCAGTGTCCTTGGAGATGAATGCAAAGCTTACTGCTGAGATTTCAGATGGCGAGATTGAGTCCGCTTTGTTTCAGATGGGGCCGACAAAGGCTCCGGGTCCGGATGGTTTTCCGGCGTTGTTTTACCAACGGCACTGGCAGTTGGTAAAAAGTGATGTTTGTAAAGCGGTGAGGGATTTTCTGAACGGGGTAGCGGCACCGGACAATTTTAATGACACGGTTATAGTAATGATCCCCAAAGTTAACTCATCGGAGTTGATGACACAGTTCCGACCGATCAGTTTGTGCAATGTGTTGTATAAGATATCTACGAAGGTGCTGGCTAACAGGTTAAAAGTGATCCTACCAGTGCTAATCTCTGAAGAGCAAAGCGCCTTCGTCCCAGGTAGACTCATCACGGATAACATTCTATCTTCATATGAATGTGTACACGCTATCAGGAAGAGAAGCCGAAAGAAGCCACTATGCGCAGTTAAGTTGGATATGATGAAAACGTATGACAGGGTTGAGTGGAGCTTTTTGGAAAGGATGATGAGGAGATTCGGTTTTGATGGAGCATGGATACAGATGGTCATGCGTTGTGTTACTTCCGCGAGGTTCTCCGTGAAGCTTAATGGTGGTATTTCTCATACCTTTTTGCCATCCAGGGGACTCCGTCAAGGGGACCCCTTATCACCTTATTTGTTCTTGTTTTGCGTGGAAGGCTTCTCAGCGCTACTAAAAAATGCTCAACGGGTTGGAGGTTTGAAGGGGGTATCTTTTGGGAGCACTGGCCCCATGATAACCCATCTATTGTTTGCGGATGATAGCATTGTGTTTCTTGAGGGTTCTCAGGATAACCTTGAAACGCTCAAGACTATCTTGGTTGATTATGAAAATGCCTCATGACAAAAGGTGAACTTGCAGAAATCGTCTATCTTTTTTGGGAAAGGCAGCACTGAGGAGAACAAGGAACAGCTAAAGGTGGTCATTGGAATCCAATCGGAGGCATTAAGCGAGAAATATTGGGTTCTTCCTACCGTGGTTGGAGGTTCTAAAGAAGGAACTTTCAAATATGTTAAAGAAAGTGCGAAGGGCAAAGTGACGGGATGGAAAGGGCAAGGTTTATCTAAAAAAGCTCGTGAGGTTTTGGTTAAATCCGGGCTACAGTCCACTCCAACTTTCACCATGAGCTGCTTTCAACTCACCAAAAAAATGTGCGGGAACCTGACTTCGATCTCTTCAAACTTTTGGTGGGGGGAAGCTAACGGTGAAAAAAAGGTCCATTGGATAGCTTGGAAAAAGATGTGCTTAAGTAAAAGAGAGGGAGGAATGGGCTTCAGAGACATGGAGGCTTTTAATCAATCTCTTCTAACAAAGCAAGCTTGGCGATTATTACAACAACCGACCTCGCTTTGTGCTCGAATTTTGAAGGCGAGATACTACCAGGAGGGTTCCATTATGAATGCAACTTGTCCAAAAGGTGCTTCCTTCACTTTCCGGAGCATTTTGTATGTACGGGATCTGTTGCTAGAGGGGTTGATTTGGAGAGTGGGGGATGGTTCCAGTATACGCATACACCATGACAACTGGATACCTCGTACAGGTTATCTTCGGCCACTGGGCCAGACGTACGTGCTGGGGGTTGTCGCGTGTATGTCACCCGATGAACGAGGCCGGAGATGCATGGGACCGGGCCAAACTGGATATGATGTTTACCCATGATGATGTACATGATATTTTGCAGATCACGATGGGTGGCACCGGGGCGGAGGATTTTCATGCGTGGAACTTCACCAACAATGGACAGTTCACGGTCAGATCGGCGTATCACTTATGTATGGCAAAGAAGAAGGCAAGTGCGGGACGGCCGGGACCTTCGTCTTCGGTGGCAGAGCACCAAGGCTGGACGGCACCGTGGGGTGCCAGTGCGCCGGGCAAGCCGATAATCCATGCATAGAGGTTGATCAAGAATGGCTTGGCTGTCGGCAAGGAACTGCTACGAAGACACATTAAGACAGGAGTGTTCTGTCCGGCATGTGGATGTGAAGAATCGATACTGCACCGTTTCTGGTACTGCCATCATTCAGTTCTGTTTTGGAAGGAGTTAGGCTCAATATTGGGAACAAGGGTGGCCACCCCACCCAGCTCGACGAGTTCCCAGGGCCAACTTGCGGCATGGTTGCTTCAGTGGATGCCGGAGGCGGATGATGATGCTAAATCCATGATGATACATGGGCTTTATACTCTGTGGTTGGCAAGGAATGACACACGAGAAGGGAAGAAGATTGATGATCCGATAACAGTGGCAAGAAGGGTAGCTAGGTATCTAGCGGAGTGGAAGAGTGTTCATGCTGAACGAGCACCTAAAGTGCGACAGTCCTCTGCGGAGCCATGGAAACCACTGAAAGTTGGATGGGTGAAAGCTAATGTGGATGGCGCCATGGCGAGATCAGAACAGTCGAGAGGCGGGGGATTTATTCTCCGGGATGAAAATGGTGCGTTCAGAGGAGCTGCTTGCCACTTCTTTCCTGTATGCTCAAAACCGGAGATAGCCGAGCTTTTGGCGTGTAAACAAGCGCTTCAGTGTGCAGTTCAGAGGAACATACAAATGCTACACTTGGAAACGGACTCGCGGGTGGTGGCGGGAATGCTGGTGAGTGAGGAGAAGAACATGTCACACGCTAGACAAGTGGTAGAACAAATTAAAGCTCTGATCAAGTCAAGAGAACATTTCAAGCTCACCTGGGTTCGGAGGACGGCAAATGGAGCTGCACATGGTTTGGCTAAATTGGGTGTGAGTTCTAGTGGTTCAGTTTTTTGGGACTTGTCCCCCCAGATTGTATTCTTAATATTGTGTCGGACGAAATTCCTAATTTAGTTTAATAAAGTTGGGCCAGAACTTTCAAAAAAAAAAAAAAACAAGAACCCATCCTGAAAAACCGAGGGAACCTCCCAAAACGGGTGCCGGTGCTGGGATATATGTTTCGGAACGGCCCAGTTCGCTATGGAAGGAGTCGAGCATGTCGCGCCATGAACGGGCGCCTTAAGCTAATAGGAATCGGCCTAACGAGCACCTGCCTAACTACGATCAGTTCTTTCCATGTAAAAATCAAGATTACTGCCTTTTTTACCAGCTGATTAGTTTCCAAGTTGAGCAGACGACCCACCTATATATAAGACGGATTATACTGACGGGGATTTCATACTTCTCTCGGCTGTTCATCTTAAACGTCGGGCAGAGATGATGGCGTCTTTCTCGCCGCTGTGCGCTCTTGTCGTACTGCTCGCCGCAGTCGGCTCCGTCTCCATCGCATCCGCCTCCGTCGCCGACGCAGGTAGCTTGTCTCTCAATTCTTCGCTGCTCGCATCGGCGGCTCCTCCGCCAAGCGCCGTCCTTCCCCGCAAGGTGCTCCGCCCTGCAGGTAATTCGCATCCATGTTTCATGCAAAGAAAAAGCATCCGTCTTCTTCTCGCGAGTTTCAACTTTCAACTATGCTTAAGCTCAGCCTTGTCTCTTTTCTGCATGCAGGCGTGGGCGCCGACGTGCCGCACCGCGTGAGCCTCGGCTGCGCCGGCGCGGACGACATCGCCATCGAGCAGGGCCCGGGGACGACGCTGCCCAGCGGGATCCCGTCCTACACGGTGGACATAATCAACCGCTGCTCCGGCGCAGGCCGCGAAGCGTGCGCCATCTCTGGCATCCGCGTGCGCTGCGGCTGGTTCAGCTCCGTCACCCTCGTCGACCCCAGCAAGTTCCGCCGGGTGGCGCCCGACGACTGCCTCGTTAACGACGGCAAGCCGCTCTTGGCTGACGACACCATCTCCTTCGAGTACGCCAACTCGTTCCAATACAAGCTCTCCGTCGCCAAGGCCACCTGCGTCCACCCCGCCGCCGACACCTCCGACTAGTCGTATCGTATGCAGGGGCCTAGCTAGCTAGCACTTTCTTTCGACACCTATTGTAGTATGCGCAAGTTCTTAGTACTACTATGGACGGACAATATCATCGGACAAAAATATAAGGTGTTTTTATAACTATTATATACACGATCGACATATATCAAAGTTTTTGATGTACATTACATTGTCTCTGATGTGTACTGTGCTTGTAATTAAGTACCTATTCGGCAATCCACCAGCACCGAGAAATGCGAGGATCTACGAAGCATCTGTTTCTCCGCTCAGTTATTTTCAACTGTAGCTCCACTTGCTCCGGGAGCATAGTCGTGGAGCAGAGAGACCTCCGAACAGGCCCAAGTCTCGGATCAAGGAGAGAAGGGGAACATGGGGAACTTTTGAGAGGTCGCTTAACTTTGACTCGAGCTATTCGTCATGTGCACACGACCTTCGCATGCAAGGTTATGTACCACTTTCTAATGCGCACCCGCTTTTCACCGTCACCGATGACAACAACATTTATTTTTAAACTTTATATCAATTTTACACGTGTTAGCACACTTTATGATACCCCTGTTATTTTGAATCATTTTTTCTGTGGGGACATCGGGCTTTTAATTTTGTGAATTTCAAGTGTTGTTAACAAATTAAATAATTATTTTTTGGGGACATCGATCATCAAAAAAAAATTGGGGGACATCAGCTCTATGATACGAGCGCTCTCATACTGCTAATAATGGAGGCCCTTGCCATAGAAGATGGTGCCTGACTCGCATTTGCCATCTGAATCGTGTTGGAGGGTGACTCCCTAGAAATTAAGTTCATGTGCCGAGATATGCTAACGTGCCAAACGGGTTAGTAGCACCTGGAGGAGGTGCCTCATGAAGCGTAATTTTGACTATGTAAACATGGCAACTTAGTAGCAAATAAGGAAATAGTTGTGTACCATATTTGTTTTTTCTTTCTAACTGAGACTTCCATATAAAATATGCATGTTCAAAGTACAATGTGCGTATGACATACAAGTTCTCATCTTATACGTTGACATATATGTATTTTATTTTCGTTTGCACATGGCATAATTTTTACAAGAATTCTTTGCACGCAACCTAACATCCAAAGCATAAAAAAATAAAAGGCAATTCAATTGTTCAAACATAAACTATATTTCTTGTACTTCTATATGTACGTGATATATGGTATAGCCTTGTAGGAAAATGAACACAACACAAATGTGTGCCGTCTTTCACATCGGCTTGGGTCACATATATGTCTTACATTTGACACAATATTTTTTTTCTAAATTGCTTGATCAAATAATAATAAACTCAGAGCACACATCACACATGTATATCTTAGCATTTGTTCCCCTAAAAAATATATTTGTAACAAATGGTGTAGCTTTATCTAGGCACGTTGTACTACTAGATAATAAATTCTTTGTATGCATAATTAAATGATTTTTTTTCAAAACTGTGATAGATTTTATAGCATTTTCGGAAACTATATGACGTAATGCAAAAAAACCACAACTAGTAGCCCGTCGGCCATCCTCTGGCCGAAGTAGGGCTTTTCGGCCAAAGCTAGGCCGAAGTAGGGCTTTTCGGCCATCATTAGGCCGAAGTAGGTGATTTCGGCCACCATTAGGCCGAAGTGGAGCATTTCGGCCAGAGCTAGGCCGAAATAGACTTTTTGGTCTAGTCTAGGCCGAAAAGTACTACTTCGGTCTCATGTAGGCCGAAGTTGCATGGCTCGTGCTGAAATGTTCCCACCACCCCTTCCCGCCACCCGTTTCCCGCCAACCCCTTCCCGCCACCCGTTTCCCGCCATATGTTCCCGCCACCCG